TTGGGGAATGTAATGTAAATAGAATTGTGGTTTGTTTTTTTTTTAAGTATAGCATTATGTTTTTAATTTCAAATTCCTCTTGTTCATTGCTGGTATATAGGAAAGCAATTGACTTTTGTATTTTAACCTTGTATACTGCAACATTGGTATAATCGCTTTTTAGTTCCAAGGGTTATTCTGGTTGATTCTGTTGGATCATCTATATAGATGATCATGTCATCTATGAACAAAGACAGCTGTATTTCCTCCTACCCAACCTATATACCTTTAATTTACTTTTCCTGTCTTATTGAATTAGCTAGAACTTCCAGTATGATGTTGAAAAGGAGTGATGAGAGGGAACATCCTTGTACCTGAGCTTAGTGGGAAAGCTTTGAGTTTCTCACCATTAAGTATGATGTTAGCTGCAGGATTTTTGTGGATATTCTTTATCAAGTTGAGGATGTTTCCCTTTACTCCTAGTTTACTGAGAGTTTTTATCATGAATAGGTTTGGATTTTGTCAAATACTTTCCTTGTATCTGTTGATATCATCATGTGATTTTTTTCTTAGTCTGTTGATGTGATAGATTACATTAATTGATTTTTTAATATTGAACCAGAATATTTCCCTTTTTTCATTTCTGTCTTTGTGTCTTCTCTTTGTTCTTAGCTTGACTAGAGATTTATTAAATTTATTGATCTTTTCAAAGAGCAAGCTTTTGGTTTCATTGCTTTTCTTTATTGATTTTCTATACTCAATTACATTGATTTCTGCTCTAATTCTTATTACTTCTACTAACTTTAGGTTTAATTTGCTTTTTTTTCTGGTTTCCTAAGGTGGAAACTTAGACTGTTGATTTTAGTTCCTTTTTTTCTCATATATGCATTCAATGCTAAAAAATTTCCCTCTAACCATTGCTTTTGTTGTATCCCACAGATTTTTATAAGTTGTGTTTCCATTTTCATTTAGTTTAAGATATTTTTAAATTTTCCTGAGATTCTTCATTGACCCATGTGTTAATTAGAAATGCATTTAATTTCCACACATTTTGGGATTTTCCAGTTATCTTTCTGTTATTGATTTCTAGTTTAATTCCATTGTGGTCTAAGAGCAGACATTGTGTGATTTCTATTCTTTTAGTTAAAGTGTGTTTTATGGCCCAGAATGTGGTTATCTTGGTGAATGTTCCATGTGACCTAGAGAAGAATGTGCATTCTGCTGTTTTGGATAAAGTAGTCTATATATGTCAGTTATATCCAGTTGATTGATGGTATTATTGGGGTTAACTCTGTCCTTACTGATTTTTTTTGCCTGCTGGATCTGGCCATTGGGTATTGAAGAGGAGTGCTGAAGTCTCCAACTATGATGGGTAGATTCATCTGTTTCTCCTTACAATTCTATTAGTTTTTGCCTCACATAGTTTGACGCTCTTGTTAAGCACATACACATTAAGGATTGTTATGTGCTCTTGGAGAATTGACCCCTATATCATTATGTAATGCCTTTTTTCTCTCTGATAGCTTTTTTTGTTTTGAAGTCCAAAATTAATATAGCAACTCCTGCTTTCTTTTGATTAGTGTGAGCATGGTATATTTTCCTCCATCCATTTACTTTTAATCTATATGTATCTTTATATTCAAAGTGGGTTTCTCGTAGACAGCTTGTACTTGGGTCTTATTCTTTAATCACTCTGAGAGCTTGGGTTTTTTTTTTTTTTTTTTATGGTGACATTGGTTAATGGAATCCAGTAAGTTTCAGGTGTACAAAATAGCAGTATATTGCGTTGTATGTTCACCTCCCATAGTTAGATTTCTTTCCGTCACCATGTATTTGAGCCCTTTTACCCCATCTACCTCCCACCTCCCAGCCTACCCTTCTGGTAACCAGTACTCTATAGTCCATGTCCATGAGTCTACTAGTATATAGTCTATGTTCATGAGTCTCTGTTTGTCCTGTTCGTTTGTTGCTTTTAGGTTTATATCACACATATAAGTGATATCATGTGGTTTATACTCTTTTCTATCTGGCTTATTTCGCTTAGTATGATTATCTTGAAGTCCATCCACGTTGTCACACATGGCAGTATTTCATCTCTTCTTATGGCTGAGCAATATTCCACAACTTCTTTATCCAATCATCTATTGTAGGACGCTTCAGTTGCTTCCATGCCCTGGCCACTGTGAATAATGCTTGACAGCTTGTTTTTTAATTAGTTCATTTAAATCATTAATATTCAAGGTGATTATTGATATGTTTAGATTAACAGCTGCCATAATCATTACTATTTTCTATTTGTTACCCTTATTTGTTCTTGTTTATGTCTTCTATTTTTTTCTGCCTTTTGTGATTTATTAACACTAATAATTAGATTTTTATTTATTGTCATTTTTTTAAATTTACTTATTTTAATTAGTTTCTAGTATACAGTACATTGGTTAGACATCTATGCAGTTCATAAAACGATACCCCCAATTGCTCCCTCCCTCCCCTGACCCTCCACCTAGCAAACATATTAATACTATTTCTTTAACCCTTCACTCCATTCTCCTAGCCTCACAACTCCCCTTCCCTTTTGTCCATCACCAAATTGTCCACTATATTTGTGAGTCTGTTTTTGATTAGTTTGGTTTTTTTATTCC